TCAGAAGTAACCTTGCCATGGCTTGGCGATTTCGCCGGGATTTAAAATATTCGCGGTTTAATGAAAAATTTTGAATTTTTTCAAACACAAAAGATATGGTCTATTTTACCCGCTAAATATCATCCGATGACCACCCAAATTGGTAGGCTTCTTCCCCGCCCTAAACTCTAGCTACATGCGAAGTTCCGCTTCGATTGGTCTATAATTGCGACCTGTATAGCTACTGCAAAATCCGACATTTTTTCAGTTTTTGGTCCATTTCGACCCCTAAATATTAAGCGATCATTTCCAAAAGAAATAGGGTTCTATTCTGAACCTAGCCCCACCTCCATTCTAAATTTCGTGCAGATCGGGCCATAATTGCGACCTGTAGAGTGATTACAAATTAACATGGACAGACGGACAGACGGACAGACGGACGGACGGACATACATAGCTAGATCGACTCAACTCGGCGAGATAGGAAGATCCATATATACTTTCCTATGTGGGAAATCAATATTTCGAGGTGTTACATAATTTTTGGCCCAATCAAACTTATAACACCTCCAACACATAGTGTTGTAGGGTATAAAAATTAAAAAGTTCCGACGACCAAAACCAATGGAAACTTTTCATACCCTTTAAGTATGAATTTGTTTGGACGATGGTAGATTTTCTAAGAAAAACTAATCAAGAATGATTCTTAGTTGCCTTTTTTCATTCTTTAAACATAGTATTTAGTTGCTATTCTCACTGTCAATGTCCAGCATGAAAGTCATGTTATGCGGTATTGAAAAATTAGCCAAATATGTTTGTTCTTAACAAATTTCTTATAAGCCAGCCAAGTATGCAACTACCATGTTGAAGTTTGCGCAACTTGTTACAGTAACTGTTTGGGACACGGTTTTTGTCAACGTTTTTCCCATTCCAAGAGTTTTAGTTGCTTTTATTACTGTGCTATTGTTGTTTTCAATCTTTTGTTTCGCTAGACGAACAAAACAAAAAAAGTAGTACGCCTGTCGTCGTTTACAATTGTTTTCGGACTGTTTCTACCACCTTCTTCGCCCCTCATGGTTTATGTGCATTTAATGAAATCTTTTTGTCGTCTTTCAAAAAAAAAAGCTTTTTTTCTCTGCCAAGTAAATGGGTCTCTTTAGTGTGCAAAAGACCAACTTTTGTCTTACCACCGACTCCCAGCATTAACACCACGACGATGCATGTGTTAGTCTGGACGCCAGAGCTGTCACACACCGACCAACGTTACAACGTCGTTGTAATGGCAGTGGCAACAATTGTCGTTTTTTTAATCACTGAAAATGGCAGATGAATGACAAACAACAGCGAGAGAGGGGAAAAATTGAAACAAAAGCAAACAAAACTCTGCGAAAACTCAAACTCCAATTGAAACTGAAAATGAAACGTTTTAATATTTCGCAGATAAACAAACTCGAATAAAAAACGAAAAACAAAAATGGAGTGCAAAATTGTTGCATTTTATGATTTCCTTTCGGTGCACTGGCAAAGTGTTTGCTTTCATCGAATAAATGCACAAAAACGAAAAGAAAAACTTTTGCGAAAACTTTGCATATTTTGGCGACAAGATGTCTCTCTAAGTTTATGAAAAGTTTGACGGCATTTTCAAAAGATATATCCATATTTTTTTGCATATTTTTTGAGAATAATTCATGTATGTAGATAAAAGTGAATATTTTGGTGCACAAAATATTCAAAAATGTAAAAACCGTGAGTGTGTGATTGAGCTCATAGCTAACTATAAAATGCAAATAAAATATAGATCAATTTTACAGTTCCAGCAGAAATTTAAGATAGCCTGTAAACTCCGTACTTGGTTTGTAATTCTTTGTAGATTTTATAGCTATTTTAAGAATTCGTGGCTATTTTAAATAATTTCTCGAAATTAAATTGTATTCATCAATGGTGAAACGTTTTTCAAGAACGCCAAGAGTTATTGTGTTCAAAAATGTTTTCTTTAAAATCAAAACATATATTTAGTAATGGCATTCGTAGTTTTTGAAACCATCTGATCAATAATTAATAATAATTTTTTTAGGACTGATTTTGAAATGTTTTTCGATTCTACCTCTTTGTCTTTTCCTTAACGCGAAATTAATGATCAAAAATTTGCCGAGAAAACAAGCCAGCGGCAAATTATCAAACACTCGGCACTGAAGACCCGATTCGCGATTGGTAAAGCGGCTCGTCAGGTATATTTGGTGTGAATGGTTTACCATGTTCGTGATAAGATGATTCATGAATCTTTATCAAAGTTATCACCTTGGATTTTAAGCTAATTTTTAATGTGATTTAGTGAAATTCTGCGAAGAATATTTCCTCCTTTGACACTATCAGTCTAAAACAAAGTTTTATTTTACCTCAACATGAAAAAAGTCCATTCACAATTGAAAGATTTTCAAAAAAGTCGATTTTTTTTGCAAATTTCCTTAATATATTATGGAAATAGAGATTTCTTTCTGAAACCCTTCGTCATCCGATCTTAAATAATGTTTTCTTGGGAAATTTTGGCCTAACTTATATGAAGTACAGAAATTCGTTCCTTATATTTATAAATTCCTGGTTTTGATGTTTTTCAGGTCCTTTAGTTACGATCCCGCTTAATGGAAGTTTTTAATTAATTTTGAAAAAATAATCCTCGAATTCTTATCAGTAATGTTGTATTACCTAAAATATAAGGATTTAAAGATATCTTAACCCAAAAATTCCAAAAAATGTTGAAGATGGTGAACTTTCCATCTTTTTCGCTTACTTAGCGATGCAAACTTTCAAAACGCGGATATGCAGTAATAAGTATTAGTACGTCCGAAGATATCGTTATATGTGCGCTATAAGAAAACTTGGACCTACATACAAATGTTCTGCAACCAAAGGTAAAACCCGTAACAAACTACAAATAATAATTTGCAGACCAATCCGTGAAGAAATTTTACACAAATCAGTTAGAAAATGTGACTTAAATCATCGGGTACCGTTACATGGAGGCTATAGTAAAACGTTAACCTACATAGCTAATGTTCTGTCACCAGAGGTAGAACTCGTTACCAACTCTTAATATCAAATTTGGAACAATTCCGTAGAAAAATGTGGTCATCAAAATACCGATTATCGGGAATGTAGTCGTAAGGGGAATATATGAAAACCTGGACCGATGTACCTCATTTTTAATACCAACAATTGTACATAGTATGATTTCAACAGACAGAAAGACGGACATTGGACTTTAGGGGGCCTAGGTCGAATATTTGGAGGTTTAACAGACGGATACACCCTCCTTTCCCTTTGCATATTTAGTACAGCATCATATTAAAAAATAAATAAATATAATGAATCGGATGAGCAATATATATTTGAGCTATAGCTACATCTGAACCGATTTTCACCAAATTTGACATACTGGTTTCTAGGCTCAATTTGGTCGTAAGTGCCAAATTCCATCCTATTTGGCCTTATATTACACGCTTGGTGTACAATATAAGGCAAATCGGACGAAGATATATATGGAAGCCTTATCCACATCTAAACCGATCCCGATAAAATTTGGGAAAAGTATTTATGTGCCGTATTTGCTTTATTTCACCAAATATCTTTGATACAGAGAGCATATTACGGGTGCGGAGGACAAAAATATCAAATCGGATGAAAAATATTTATGGAAGCTATAGCTCAATCTGCACCGATTTCAATCAAATTTGGTATACTTGTTTCTAGGTCTACTTTGGTCGTATACGCGAAATTCCATACTATTTGGGCTGACATTACACGTTTGGTGCAAAATAAAAAGCAAATCGGACTAAGATATATATAGGAGCTTTATCTAAATTTTGTCCGATTATCTCCAATTTCAATAGGGTTCGCTTAAAAAAATGACTTGTGCAAAACTTCATCTGAATCGGGCAACAAATGCGATCTGTACTTTGTTTACAAACATACATGGAGAGACGGACGAACATGTATAAATCGAATCAGAATGTGATTCTATGCAGATCACCAAAAGGAACTATGGGTCTATCTCGTTTACTTTTCCCTGTTACAAACAAATGCACAAAGACATAATACCCTTACCACCTTGTGGTGTAGGTATAATAGACGAGCCATTTATATAGGGCTTCTGCCAAAAAGTGCAGCGTTATTAAAATTTTATATGAGAAGTTTTTTCATTTGACGAGATACCAATTCGATTGGGATTTTTTCATGTTATATGAGTGCAACAACAAAGATTGGATCTTTATGAACAGTTCTTTTCATGAAGGCTTTCCAACTTTATTTACACTAAACGCCAATCAGCAGCCATTTCTATTGAATTATATAGCTAAAACACCCACAATACCTTAGGCGTATGAACATCAAAAGTTCAATGGACAGCCTTTCGGAAGGTGTAATAGTATCGACAGTCCTTCGCATTTAAACTTACAAGTCTACTATGGTTTATAGGATGTCTTTTGAAAGAGGTATGGTGTGACGACTTGTTCCTTTTACATAAGTATATGGTTTTAGTGTCATTGTTGCTTATTGCATAAATTATTTTGATCCAGTCGAAGAGGGGTCTTTCTCTAGAAAACTTGTCCTTCTGACATAGTTCCTTTAGTATTTGGCAAAATCAAGACTTTTCTTTTTGGGTCAACAAATATTTTATGCCATAACTCATAAGTAAAACAAATGGCGAAATGTTCTTTCCGAGTTTGGAAACAACTCTCGGTTTTTTGGATACCAAATTATTTTTTTGATATTCTAATATTTACATTTTTGGAATTGTATCCGTTTTAAATTAAAATAATAATCGCAATAAATCAGCATTAGTAATTCACATCATTAAAACCACTGTATGCAAACTTGAATGACAACGACACAAAAAAACAATTACCACTTAAGTTACATGCGTATTTAATTAAATAAATACACACATACATAAATTCAAGTCTTAATTAATGTTCATGTTTTTTACATTTTTGGAAAATCGGGTGAAAAGTGCATAAATTACTTACATTTTGGCAGGGACGTTCATCGGAGAGCAGTCGTACTGCGCCACGACCCAAAGCTTCACGTTTTCGTTGCGCCGAAAATATACGCAATTCTTTGCGTTCTTCATCGCTTAAGGAGTGGCAGTAGCGGACCTGTCGGATACAAAATGAAAAAGAAGAAAACAATTTAGTCAATTAAAATAGTCAACAAGTTTAAGAGTGTTTTCAGCGACAGCTAAACTGGCAAAGAAAAGCCTAATTTAAATTGTTTTCCCACGTCAAGTGATTAATGGGAAATCTATAAAGCCGCCTCATTCAATGTATCGGATTCTAATCATAAATTCTACAACATTGTCGCATTTCCTTCTGAGAATTATAAGTACAAGATCGTTGATGTTAATGTGCGCATGATTTAGTTGCTGTGATGTAAAAATGAAACAAACCTTTTTTCTCAAACATATGACCTAGTTTTTTTATAGGTTTCCTGCTCTACAAGTTCCATGAAGCTGATTAGTTGGTGAAAAACATGCAATTTACAGTCTTGTTGAGCTCATAAATAGTTACGCACATGCGTAAATAATTACCAGCTATACGATTGCACAATTTGTTTGCATACATTTTAAATGCAATGGGAAAATTTTGAAAATTAATGGTAAATAATGTAGGAGGAAGAAAAAACTTTCATGCCACAATTTTTCTGGTAACATGTTAGGTTAATTATCCTATAATTTTAAGCATTAGGAAACTTAAGCAAAGAACATTAAATTGCACGAACTAAAATCATCAAGAATATATTTACTGTATGGAGATCCGACGAATATCGTTATACCCTCAACCAAATTGTTATAGAGGGTATGCCTCATCGAAATAACGATTTTAGAACCTAGCTATCTTTCTGTCGCAATACGTTCCAGGAAAATTGGAGTCGATCTAGATATTTTCGACCGTCCGTCTATTTGGTAGTATGCACGATTTCTCTCAAAGACAGTATTACTTGATACTTTGTAATATTTTTGTCAATCTTATTTCGAGTTCGGATATAGAAAAGATTCACCCTTCTACTTCTGTTACCTGATCCACAAAAGGTTAACATTTTCAATGGAAATAATTTACTTTATATAAAACCATTTGATTTTTTTAGACTTTGCACATCTTAATATTTGAATAGAATAAATCTGTCCTCTCCCTTTGGGATAAATATACCTTTTATAATATGCTAAACAATTCGGTATTTTCTTCAAACTTCGCACATCTCTATATTACCACAACCATATATCATGCACCTACTCCCCGGTGGGTCAAAATTTTGAATAATAATGATATACCGTTACGTTTATTGGACCTTGTGTTTTATCGGTCCAATTCTTCTGATACCTCCCCAACAAAGGCTAAAAACCTAACAAAAGGTCGTAATTTTGAATAATAATAATAATTTTTTGAATAATATATAAAATTTATAAAAAAAATATAGTGTCATATTGAGCGAATGGAGTACCCAATATTGTTCACACTTGGCACATCGTAATATTTAGGTCAGACCTCGGACAGGCGCGAAAATAGACAATTTAGGTTCAACGCCACAAAATTTTGGAAAAAAAAACCTGACATATAGGGTAAGTGTACCAGTAGTCGGCACTTTTAGGATTTTCGCGTTTTTAATCGCTCACCATTCTGAGTGGAACTTTTCAATTATTAAAAAGTTAATTTATTCAGATTTGAAATTGTGTATAGTTTTTGCAATAATAAATAAAGTTTTTATTAAATTTCATAAATTTATAGTTTTATTAAAACAATGCTTTTGTGCCAGTAGTCGGCACCACTTGCCAATTGTCGGTATTGCATGTTTCAACAGTTGGCATAATATTTTTTTTTGTAAGAATAATTAATAATAATAATAAATTAATTCATTAAAATATTTTTTTTTTGTTTAGTTAAACTGATTCGACATCTTTATTGTACTTTTCTTAAGAATATGGATTGTTGAGGACCTTCATAGACAAAAATTTAATTTTTATTAGAATAAATCATCTTTTCTTAGCGAAAGTGTACACAAAGATAGCTGACAATATATTTGAAAGTAAAAGAAGTAAACAAAATACATTTAGTTATAATAGTTTCATTTATTTGGGCTTAAAAATAAAAAGTGCCGACTACTAGGACATGCCGAACTTAGGCACTCTTACCCTATCTCAAATAAAATGAATCAGCTAGGTCGATATTTTGTTCGCGATTTTTTTTCTTTTTGAATTTTATTTATGCCTCCCCCGCAAAGGAGGCTACTCCGAAGGAGTGGGACAATATTTTACATTTCGTATCTGACATAAGACCGATATAAATATTTCAACGCGTCAGATTTTAACAATATAAACTATATTAAATAGGGTAAGTGTACCAGTAGTCGGCACTTTTAAGATTTTCGATTTTTCAATCTTTCAACATTCTGAGTGAAATTTTTCAATAGCAGAAAAATAAAGTCGTTTAGATTCCAAATTTTGTTTAGTTTTCGAAATAATAAACAAAAATTGAATTTGTTTTTATTAAATTGGCAAAATTTGCAATTTTCCTAAAATAGTACTTTTTTGCCAGTAGTCGGCACCCTTTTCCAATGCTCGGCATGTCTATTAGCCAGTAGTCGGTATATGGCATATCAGTAAAAAAATATTATTTTGTATGTTTCTCTATTTCAAATAGTATAAAACAATGCTATATTACTAATTCACAGTTTACTCCAGAATTTGAAATTAATTAAGTTTTTTAATAGTGTTTTATTTCATTATTTATAATTTAGAAAAGTTAGTCAAAAGGCACAAATAAAAGAAACTGCCGACTCAAAACAATTTATTTATTTGAGTAGTTTTTGGATTATTCTCAAGTTTTTGGTAAAATTGGTCCAAAATGATATTTTTCTGTTCCTAATGTCGGCATTAAATAATATAACAGAAAAATGCTTGATTTGTATGTTTTTAAGTTAAAAAGTTATCTTTAGACTCTTATTTACTATTATAAAATATTTCTGATTCCAAAGTATTAAATTTAATTTACTTAAATCGATTATTAAGTTGACGCCACCACTAATTTTTTCTTTACAAACAAGCACTATCACATGCGTTCTCTCGTAATAAATGATCGGAGCTCATTGTTTTTTTTTAAAGAAAGAGAGCAGAGAACACTGTTGACGTTTTTTGCAATTATCTAATTATTCGGTCAATTCTATTTAAGTTTAAATTTCAAATTTTTAAATTTATTTAAGTTTAAATTTGAAAACTGCCGACGACTGGGACATGCCGAACTCAGGCGCACTTACCCTATGATGTTTTTTTTTTTTTTTTTTTTTTTTTGAAAATGTTTAAATGTGCGTGAGGCACCATATATTTGTTCGAAGTGTTCCGTAGAATCTAAAATTGATTCAAAATAAAAATTTAGGGAAAACCGTAAACTAATTTCCAAATTTATGCCAATAATAAATTTATGCCAATAATAATATAAATAATGACCGATAAATTCCAAATTCACATCTCATAACCCTTTGACAGACAGCTACCGGAAGGACTAGACCCATAAACCCCAGATTTTGTGTTAGTAAAAATATTGTGATATGAAGGCATTGAAGAATCGGATACTTATTTCACATTTTATGAGAGTTATAATTATTCAAATTTTGACCCGTTGTGGTCGAGGTACTAGTGGGAGTGACCCCATATGTAATATCTTCACCCTAGATTATGTGTTCATTATAGGGATGTACCGAGTTTGAAAATAATCGGATATTCATTTCGCATTTTATGGGTTTCATCGTTATTCAAAATGTTAACCCAGGTATCAGAAGAAGTGGGTCCAGTTCTACCATTTTCGTAGCGGATCTTGTATTAGTAGAAATATTGGGACGTGTGAAATTTTTCTGCATTTTATGGGACTAAAAATTATTAAAAATTTTGACCATTTGTGGGGGTACTTCACGGAGCGTGTCGATATTGTTCATTTCACATAGCTCTGATACAAACATTGAGCTTTGCAAATTTGTTTACAGTAAATCATTTTCTTAGGATCAAAATTGCCGATTTCCGAACTCGATCTAAGGTAGACAGTAATTGTACGATGTACTAATTTTGGATCAAATCAGGTACTCCCTTCGAGAGTTATCGTGCACAGACAGACTAGACCTCTAGATTGACTCCAAATGCCCAGAAACCCGTTATGTATATGAGGTACGTTTAGACCGTATCAAATTATATATACCCTCCGTATCAAATTATGTATAGCCATATAAAAAAGACGTCAGAACATGCTTCTTTTTACAATTTGAAAGATGCTGATGTTGTTCATCTATTACATTAATTACGATTTCTCTGACTCCCAGTTGCCTTTGTTGGAATATTTTGTCTTACTTCGAGTATTCCCCAGCATGTTGAAGGGAAGAATAATAATGTTGTGATTATTTCTTTACTCAACCCAAGACGCGTTTCTAGAGTTTTCAGTTTATTGGTAAGAGAGTGGTTTAGAGGTAGATTTTCAAGAAACTAATTTAATGTAAATCAATGCTTTTAAATAGGGAGTTTTGACCATTAAATTCTTATTCTGAATCACTAAAGAAATTACGGCCCGTCTCATCTTATACGGGAGGCTGTGTCTGATTTTCTATTTTAATTAAAATCATAAGAATCGTGATGCTAACTTGACCCCAATCCTAACTTTCCCCGGTACACTATTTACAAATACAAGTAGTCAAAACCGATTAACCAAATATGATAATACTATTTAAGAGTTAAATTAAATTTAATTTCCCAAACACATCCACACTCACCTCATTGTCCTGTGGCGGCAGTTGATGTAGCAATTGTTTAATGCGATATTTTTCGCCTGGACTATTTACGTACGGCACCTTGTCGTCGGGTAATTGAGAGAAATACAAACGAACCTGGAAGTAAATTAAGAAAACGATCGGTAAATTAAATTGCCAAGACATGTTTGGGCATGCTGGTCGCATTAAAATAAATTGTTTCATAATGTTGCCATTTTAGGTGGCCTCTAATTCAACCCCAAAAAAGATATATTGCAAATTTTTCGAATTTATCATTGACAATTCGTTGGTTCGGTGGAATGGCTGTTGTCGAGTATCGAATATTTGTTGTGCCATTCGAAGTGGTCACCATAAACTAGCCATTTATTTGGCTGATTTGCTGGTCTACATGTTTTTGGTTGTTATTTTTGTCTGTCGCCGAGTCTGGCTGAGTTTGTCTGAGACTCAAAGTAATTTTTTTTTGTTTTTATTTTGGGGCCTTTGCACTGGAAAACTAAAATATTGTACTTTCACTCTCCTTCGAATCATGACAATTTGGTCAATTTCGATTAAAAACTAATGACGAGCCATGCATCATCCGGTATCACTGGTGGCAGTGCACCCAAATGACTTTTTGTGAGTGTGTGTGGAGTGAAGCGTTATCAACAGCTTTCGAATACAGCCGTTAGAAATGGTTACACTTTCTGTAGTGCCCTCCAGCTAGTTGGACTTTAGATAAGTTGATTTATATTTGGTGTGTGAGTGTGTGTCTGTCTGTGTCTATCCTTTATTGCCGTAACAAGTCTTTTATATTGCACCCTCCACGAACACCATCTCTGAAGGCAGTCGAGCCATCCTTTCATGGCTTCCAATAGTTTATTGTCGCGGCACTCATGCTGTGCTGTGCATCAGTACAAGTGGTGTTCAATTAGTTGCCATCACCAGCGCCACGACCATAGCCCATCATTAATAACGGGGCACAGTGTAAGATTTGGGAAAAACATCAGAGAAGGGAAAACTTGACTGAATGCCAATGGAATTATGTGGATAAATACGTAATAGGTATGATGGATATCTGTTTTCTGGGGATCGTTTTCGTAAAAGCTCTAAAGACTGTCATTTTCACATGTTAGAGGATATGCCAAGTACAGTTTAAATCAGCTCGTACTTGGATATACAGGGTGAGATGAAAAAACTGCAACCAACTTCAGATTGCCGACATCGGATTAAATTATACCAGTGACAGCTCATTATATTGTTTACAAGCGTACAAAAGCATTTTGTGAGAATTTTCCAGAAAAAAGTTATTCGTGATGGAATCTAAGCGTGATGGTGTGATTTCTTTATATTTGGCTGGAAACCCACAAGTGGCTATCGTTAGAGCACGCCAGCATTTAAATGTGAATAAATCTTTTATGTTTCGTACCATCGCTCGTTACCGTGGTACTGGTAGCGTAGCCCGACGTCAAGGAAGGGGACGGAAGAAAACAGCAACATCAGCAGAAATGGTTCGAAACGTAAAAAAGCGACTTGATCGAAACACGCGTCGCAGTGGCCGAAAAATGGCTCGTGAGCTGAACATATCGCAATATTCCATTTGGCAAATATTGAAAAATGAGTTCGAGGTAAAGCCTTTGAAATTCCAAAAAGTGCAAGAACATACGCCACAAGAGAAAGAAAATAGACTCAAAAGAGCTCCGATGAGAAAACATTCGTTGTCCAGCAGTTTGCAAATAAACAAACTGATCGTATTTACTTGCCAAAGAGGTCAGCTGAAAATGTGCATCTTCGGTTGGCCACTAGGACTCAAACGCCGGCCATGATAATGATGTGGGCCGCCATAACAGCCGATGGTCGCTCTCCGCTCGCATTAATCAACCGTGGCATCAGAATAAATGCGGAATATTACCGTGAAAATATTCTGGTGGGTGTATTTAAGCCTTGGGCAAGCAAACATTTTGGCCGCAGACCTTGAACATTCCAACAGGACTCAGCACCATCGCACTCAGCCACCAAGAATGGTTACAAAATGAGGTTCCTCGCTTCATTCCAGTGCAAAATGGCCATCAAAATCTCCGGATACCAATCCGTTGGACTATAGTGTCTGGAGTATTTTGGGAAGCAAGGCTGGCACTAAAAAAACCAAAGTGTCGATCAGCTCAAGCAAGCGCTTCGCTGGGAATGGACCAAAATACCGCAGAGCAACATTCGGGCAGCGTGTGACGGTTTCATTGGCATATTCGAACAAATTTTCTAAAATTTGATCATATTTCCGACATTTTTTGCTTCATTCAACAAAGTTCATGTAGGGAATCATATAGTTGGCCCCGCCCGACTTTTGGCATCGACATCTACATCTGACAAATAGAATATTTTGGATTACTAATGAAATGACTCAAATTACAAATGAAATATTTTGGCTTATAAATGAAACAATTCGAATTTTTTTTAGAGATAGACACATTTCGAAATGTGAACCCTACCGAATCAAAAATTCTTATGGAGTGGCTCAGCTATATTTACTATCCGACCTATTTCTCATATGAGCATTTAAACAGATTTACAGCAACAAATAAAGTTGGTCCTATCTTCCCCATTTTCATACTTTATTGCCCAATTTTCGTCGATTTTATCTTGACTGATGCCAACACTGTGCCAAGTCAATCTGCTCGCACAATACGTGCTGACTTGACCATAGATTTGAGATTTACTATACGTTTTTCGCCAATCTGTCCCCTTCCTCCCAAACGCCACAGACGACTTATTGTATATGTATGTGTGTGTCTATGTGTGTTTTGAAAATTTATTGCAGTTTTTCTGTGGTAAATGTTTTCGGTGGCCGGTGGAGAGTGGTGGTACGATGAACGGTGGTATTTTTTGGCTTGAGACACCAAAATCAAACTAGCTCCAGTTGTTTGTGGGTGGTGTACACAAATGAACAGAAATATGCGCTCATTGGCTCTTGCGGTATTGGTGATAGGGGGAGTCCTACAGTCAGTCACATTATTAATTGCACTTGCCGTTGCAAGTTACGGTTAGAAATATGTGCAAACTGTTTCAGGGTTTGTTTTTTTTTTTCTGTACGTTTCGTTTTTGAGAGATAAAACAGATTCCCACATACATCGGTGGCATCCACATATGTATGTACAACATTGGCTACATAACCGTTGTTGGTCAAAAAAAATGTTTATATGCGACTCGCCATAGCTTTTCAAACCGAACCGTACCGAACAAGCTGTACTCATTTCATTGCCCATACATGGCGCAGCTTAGGATTATTTTTGGGTGGGTCTGGTGATTAATAGAAAACTATAAGATTTAAAAAGCATTCAGGATACTTATGTTACGAGTTGATACGCCCGCTATCTGCGTCGTGATTAATTCAGCCAATACATAATGTGCAAAGTATCCATACAATGTTGGAGATCTAAATCGACAAGGTTTCCCGAATAGAAATTGTATAATTGCTAATTTGAAACTTTTTTCTTGGTTGCAGTAATGTCTGGGCAATTACAATATATCAAGAGAGTAGATTTTCGACACATGATAGGTGGGTCCTTATAATAACTTATCAAGTGAGTGGAATGATTAGGTATTGCTTTTTTAACATTATTGACAATCTTCGAAGTTTGTGTTAAATCCAGACTGTTTTAAACTGTGTAATTAACTTCAAAGAGATTAGGATAGGTAGAAGCCTCAGAAATAGAATACTGAAATAACGATTTCTCTCTGAAATTATGCAATGTGTTTTAATTGGAAAATGAATTCATTTTCTTTGGAAATTGAATAAAAATATTATTGGAAAAAGTACGATACAAAAATGATGGCTTAATATTGCGATTTATCAAAATAATCCATCCTGTAATTTAATCTAAATTTGCAAAAAAAAAAAAAAAACGATAGAATAAACCAGAGTACTCTGTTCGATTTCTGAAAAATTTTACTCTTACTCGAAAATGAGCTTTTTTTAGAGTCACAACGAAAATTCAGTATGTTCACTTTTTTGCTCTACTTCCAGGAGTGCTTGAGCTCGAGTTAGAGTAGAGAGATAAATTCGGAGGCATGACAATTATGCATAAAATTTAAGGCAGTTATTTAGATACAGAAAAGGCTTTGATTAAAATGGGGTGAACAACTATAGCTATATCCGAACCGACTTAATTTAACCTAATAAGACAAACGTAACATCGTTGGTTTATCATATACATTAAATTAGAGGGAAACATATACAGGGTTGAATAAAAAAAAACTGCAACAAAGTCAAACGCCATAATTTTTACATTTTTTTAAATTTTATTGAATGAAAGCAAAAAATGTCGGAAATAGCATCAAATTTTAGAATAAGTTTAGATTTGTTCGAATTGGTCACCTTTGGAACGAATTATGGCCTTCAAATGGCCAATGAAACTGTCACACGCTGACAGCGTGACCGTTGTGCCACTAAAGTATCAATTTTGCCACTTTTTTGGGCTTTAATACCTTTGTGCCCCTTTTTTATTTTGATCCTAAATGAGCCACTTTTTTGAATTTTGTGCCACTTTTTTATACCCTCCACCATAGTAGGAAGGGTATATTAAGTTTGTCATTCCGTTTGTAACACCTCGAAATTTACATTTTAGACCCCACAAAGTATATATATTCTTGCTCAGCATAAAATTCTACGTCGATTTATCAATGTCCGTCCGTCTGTCCGTCTGTGGAAATCACTCTAGCTTCCGAACGAAATGAAGTAAGTTGAAGTAAGTGCAGATCTGCATCTTCGTATAGCCCCCATATAACGGTATCCCCGATATTCGGCATTTGGATGATTTTAGCGACATTTTTTATCGGAATTGTTTCACACTTGGTATTTGAAGTTCGTAATAATTACTAAAGCATATGACAGGAGATTGTCTGTGTAGGTTCAGGTCTTCTTATAACCCCTATATAACGGTACCCCGATATTCGGTATTTTGATGATTTTAGCGACATTATTTACGGGAATTGTTTCAAATTCTGAACTTCGTAATGGATACTACAGCCTATGCCGGAAAATTGTCTGTACAGGTAGACGTTTTATAACCCCAATGCACCTCCCTATATTCGGGTTTTTATTTACTTTAGCTACATTATAAACAGATTTTTTTTTCAAGTTTCGC